CTCGAAAGCTCCACTGCATGCTATACAATAGAATAAACACGAGGTGACAGACCAAACTCAACTGGGCATTATACCGATAACACATTGGCTGCTGCTGCTGCCACAATCCTCTTTAAATTATTGTTACTACTTTTTCTAGGTGTCTGAAACCGATACTCAGCATAACCTCCCACCAAAGAATAATGCCGACAGTGCGCTTCTGTAGTTTCCATTACTAAATAAGAAATTTAGATTTGATTAGTAGGATATGTGACAACTCTCACAAAACCGTCACATACGATGTATCGTACCCTGAACGGCTATGGGTTTTTTCGCAAAGCTGGAGATGGGTTTCATTTCAAACACCGATTATGCATCAGCGTTCGATGTGTCGAAGAGCCACTATTAACAATACAATTTTTGGAAATATTCAGCTTAACCAGAAATCGCTGTGAAGTAATTAAAAAAGGACGGCACAAGTGGGGACGTAATAATAATAACGTCGTTCTCGAACTTCCAGGTTGGACCGTTATGTGCTGTGATAAGGGAATCTGATTCCGTCTTTTTCGTTACGTCTGCATGACCTGTTACTACGTGTAAAATGCCGACAGCTAACAAAGTTTCCGCGTTGAATATTGAGCACATTTTTGCCAATAGCAGTGTGGTGATTTGGAATGACGCGGTAATGTATAAATGGGTCCCAATTATCTACCAATACATATATGTCTCCTATGAGTTGTCGCAAGGCTATAAATTAACTGAAAAGATTGTTCCTTCCCATAACTACTTAACGTCTTAGTATGAGTACTGTGTATAAGAGGTTTGTCTAGTTACATCGTTTGCCCTTAATATATATCGAATCTTCGACAACCTTCGTCGTTGAAACCTCTGCTGCACCATTACTGTTTCACTCTGAGATTATTTTTTCTGCACTCTGTTCTATCACGATCAGCCCTTCGGAATCGGCCGAATGAAGTGTTGTCTGTTTCGGTACGCACGAGCCACCTTTGCTATCTTCAGTACATAAAGTAAAGATAATCCAATACATCAGTGTCCAGCTGATATCGGGCTTTGAACATAGGTGCCCCTTCTGGATTCTCCTGCTAGAGATAAAGTCAGATTTCATCCTCGACAAGGAAGGTCTTCTAAGTAATTCTTCCAAGTAGTAAATGACTCTGTTTGTTAAAAAGATATTATTGACAGTATTAGGTGACAGGGACGAACCTTGATTTAGCGCATTGTTTTTGACGGCATCCGCAGTTATTAAAATGAGAAAATCATTCCAATCAAGACCTACCCTAGTAACATGCTAAATAGCTAATTCGTTTCTGCGCACGCTAGATAGATGGTGGTCGTAATCGAGGAACAAGTAAAATCTTCTATCAGACATGAAAGACCTACACATTTTTCGGGTTTTACAATTTTTTTTGGAATTAATGATTGATTTAACTTCAAACTCACAGGTGCTATCGAGTAATAGTCATGTTGATGCTAATATCTGTTGGTTCATAGGAAAAATCTAGCTGTCGTTTTACAGTTATCCACACAATGTGTAGAATAAGCATTTGCCTCGTTTGACGATCGGCCGATATTGAGCACAATCGGTCGAACCGTAACTTTATGTGTAATACACGTGACGAAGTGTTATTGCCATAGTCTCTTTAACACCCCAACTTATACCGAAAAAGGCTAACTTAGTTAATCGAATAAGAAATATTCGATTTGATTACGAACGAACAACTGGGCATCTAACAATATTCATTTTTAACATTAATGTTACTTTGTGATACGCATAAAAAACACTTGCGAAATAACAAAATACAGTGCAGAAACAATATTCAGCCAATAACAATTATAATATGACCCTGGGATAATAATATATTAGCTAGGTAACTACACGCTAAAATATAACACATATGGATGGACAAGGAACAAGCGAGCACAATCCGAAGTAGTCAGATGACTCATTAAATTAGTACAAATCGTTATGAAGCGTTTAACGAATGGACGATCATAGAAACTTAACGAAACGCCGTCAATGACGAGTCATTATGGTAATACCGCTACGGTTTATCTGGCATCAGAATTCTGCATTAATTAACATTTTTCTGCAGATTTTCAATACGTACGTACTAGCTTGAAAAATCACTGGAAACCAAATGTTGTAACATAACTTATCACAGTTAAAAATGTAGGCGGGGGTATGGCGTAGCTCAGAAGGATATATCAAACACTTTTGGGATATTTCTAAAACCACTTCGACTTGAGGAAGTAACATGAAATATCAGTCATTTGAATTTTCGAAGCTTTGCTTGCTCAACAAAATAGGGTACTATTCATTTAGAAAAGAAACTTTTATCTGTGACCTATGTAAATCGACCAGCTTCTATCAGGTTTAAAAATTATGCCGCGGCCGCTGCAATCTCAGCAGCAAAAGTTCTTAGTACGTCTAATGATTTGTGCGTTTTCTAAATGTTTCAGCAATTGTCTTGGTAGTACTACGTACAAGTTCATAGTTTAGTTAAAACCTTATTTATTTATATCGAATGGGAACTTATTATGGCAGCGCTTCTACGGTATTTCCAGGAATGTCCTGCTGTACCCACACGGTGGTACCTGTCAATTATAGTCGTTCGATTCGATCGTTCACAAGCGATGCACTCAGCTAGCTTTGTGCTATCTGAGTATTCCTTATAGGTGCGGAACATTAACTATGTTGCGGGACCCACAACGCGAAAGGTAGTGGGAACCAGATTATTATTTCCGTTACTACAGAATAAGTTGAGCACAGGAAAAATTCCGCGCTATAGCCACAAATCAAAACACTTTTGCGTACAGTTGCTTCTTGCAGACACCCATGTGGTACTACGTAGATGACGAGCTCTGAGGGAAAAATTTTTAATAATTCGGTTTTGTTTGTGTACTCACTTTCTGCTCATCCAGTATTTGAAGCCAGCCACTTTCCTCAAATCCTTTTTCGAGACTACGTTAAACCGCAGACTGCATTATTGTATATGTAGCAGAATCTTTTATGGATTGTTTGTGATATGCGTTTTGCAACGAAGATACTTCTTTTCCTGTTTTATTGGCCTTAATAAACGACCAGTGTGAGCCCGTGGTGCAAATATTCAATGTGCCGCAGGTATGTTAAGGCTATACGAGGTTGTTTATTTCGCTGCAATATCATTTCCACCTGTGACATCCCCGGCAGAAAAAGCCTCGTAAGGTCCTTGTTGGGGTTCTGTCAACGCTGAGCCTATAATCAAACTGCCCATGAAGGAAGTTCTGAAACAATTTCATTTTGCATATACTATGACTAGATCTGATTACAGAGATTAACTACCGTAAGTTTGTTGGCCCCTTTAGAATCTGAATGTCCATTGATTATTCGAGGCAATAAATACTGGAAAATTCAGTTTAAGTTACTGATTACTTAAGCTTCGTACTTGTTGTAATGTTGAACGCCTTAAGAAACGAACTAATTTCAATGCGAAGCAAAAATAAGTGTAACATTCTAATCGTGACTGCAAAAAAAATCTAACGCGTCCGTCCAGTATCGACACAGTACTTTAAAGCAACAATTGAAAAAAAAAATAAAGATCACTAGGTAGATACCTAGTAGACACATCAGATATCGTCGAGTAGAGACGATTTATCAGAAAGAGCAGCTTTGTTTGTCTGATCTATCAGCTCAATACATTTTCCGATTCTTTTTCAGTCAGAAGAGCCTCGCCTCCTTAATCATTTCACCTTTTCACATATCAGTCACGGATCATTATTATAGAAGAATTATTATAGAGAATGCAGATCAGTCTTTGTCTACGTATCGGTGAGTCAGCTGGCCTTCACTGTTTTACCACATTATGGGATGTTATGAAAAGCTGACCGTTTAAAACGTTTCACTGAACATTACACTTTGTAATTACAAAGCTAGTTAGTTCATATCTATTTTAGCAGTTGAAATGATACGGTCTTTCATGTTTGAGTTAAGTATCTTTTGCTTAGGTAGATACACTGAATCGCCATATAAATTTCAACTGTGAACATATGCTACCACCTAATCTTGATTAGACGTAAGCTTTAGATATTAGCTTTAATAAAGGCACCCCCATGCACAAAACAGGTCGATACGCTTAATCAAAATGTACGAGTGATCGCTATTGGGTTTCCTAAAAGCGTTTACCGATTAAGGCCTTTGTTGCGTTTTTGCAGTCAATTATATTGGGCGCGTCGTAGAACGCATTTTTAGTTTCTTTGTGGTTAACGTTTTTACAGAGATGCAGCGTGAAATGCTTAACACTGGCATTACGGTAATCATATTGAATAGGAAACATCTCTGGTCACCAGCAACATTCTGCAAAAACATTAAAAAAATAGATTTTCCAATGAGCGAACTTAAAAAATTATAAAAGGTTACAATTAGTTGTCATACGGCTTAGAATCCTGTTCTTTTCAAACATTTCAGACTCTTAGCTTAGCTCAGCTCCAGAATTAGCTATTTCTTTTTAAATTACTCAACGGTTTTGTCCAGTCCCTTAGTTAAATCTAACTTTGATGATAACGAAACAGATGTTCGATATGTAATAAGAAATAACAGCTAATTTAGGGGGATTGCTTTGCGATACTGGATTAGGCATATTTCTCGCACGAGCAAAACTACTTTGATTTCCGAACTGCAGTGTTGTCTCAGGACCGGCTGGAACTCTACTCGTAAAATCGCCATTGTTATTGACGTAACTTAAATGTTTTAAAGTAACTTTTGTGTAATAGAAAACACGAAAAACATTTAGACGATGGTCTTATGTTGTTCATGTAGCGAAATTACCCAGTTCATAGCTTTTTAAGTAAGTTACACAATATCAATATGCTCACGGTTGGATATATTACATTGTTAAAATGTTAATTTTCTAACCTCGGTTTAATCGAAAACATTTGTGCTTTAACATTTTTCAGAAACTTATTTTAGGAATATTTCAGCAAAACGCGTTTTTTCTTTAAAAAAAAAACTAATTATGTAAAATCATTAACGTAAAAACCTCTCAATATGTGTTTCTGCACCTGAAATGGATATAATTTAAAACCATAATCTAACCACTAATCTCAGCAAGAACACACTATACAAGTCGCGTCAAAATAGAGTTTTTCGGAAACCTTTACCGTGAATATATTGTTGGACAAGGATTGGCAAGGGTTCGCCAAAAATATGACAAAAAAAACCCAACTGACTCCGAAGGTATCAACTTTTTCTAGAAACTTTAGAAAACTTATCCCGGTAAGCGGTTTCTCGGCCGAAACTACAAACCTCAAAAATTAAGAATAACAATAAAGTTTATTAATCGCATATTTAACGAGATATCCTATCACCACCTCGAAAGACAAAGAAAGTTTAACATGGACTGACTAGATACTCAGCGACCAAATGCATGGAAGGCAAAATCAAATAACCTTTTTAACAGAGAAACTAAATATGCGGAATAATCCGCTAATGCATAGCTACTTGCAAACTGAAAAGTCTTTTATTAAACATCGTAGATTCGCCATGCAAATGTTTCCTGTTTTACATTGACTCCATTTAAAACAGCACAATGTTTAATGAAAGAGAGAAAAACGTTTTCCTACGTGCATAAAAATCACCACGACCTTTGATTGACTCATATTTATTTTTCTTTCTTAAATCATATTTTTCAATTTGTACACATAAGCGCATGCTTCCTGTACCGCTTTTTATATAAATACACGAACTGTACATGTAAACAGTTCCCATTGACGGGTACTATTATATTACACAGATTTCTACCATTACTCAGCGCTTCGTTTTTTAATGACAAATGCATAAGGTCCACATTTGGATTGTTTGTTCTGGGCTAGCACTGCTTTTTAGATGAAATACCTTCCCTTCAATTCAGACAATCGATTGTTCATTATACTTTATGTTTAACATATATAGGTGATTTAGTGATACGTAAATTAAACGTGTGTTAGCCAAGATGATAACGACTATCTGAGCAGACGAGCTGCCTCGTTAAAGCATTTTTTTCTACTGAGCAAAATTTCATTCCGGTCAAGCGGCTCAACGTAACTTAAACCAATCTTCGATCTACGCAGTAATGTAGTTTCTGCTTAATGTAAGCAGGTGATTTAATGGAACCTACATGTACGATACATTTCTTGTCAGAGCACAACCTAGACTGCCAGACTGATGAAGCCAATTAAACGGTTCGCCCGACCGAACAGCCTGCCTCATTAAACTTTTGCTGATGCTATCACTATTTTATCAAACGCTTGCTTAATACACTTAGATGACTTACGTGCTTGTAACAAATTTAGGTATATCGGTACAAAGATAAGAAAGATTGCAGATCTTTCTTGTTCAAAACTATTCAAGTGTCATTAAAAATTTACTCTATCTGCACCGCTTTACCGCTGAACCTTCTTTGAATAAACACCAAGCATTGCCGTAAACTTACGTCTTTTTTTTTACAAGTTGTGTAAACTTGAGTTAAGTTCGGGCGATAATACTCAACGAACATTCCACAATACTAACCTCCATAACCGCAAGAGACATCTTCTAATATTTGAAGAATATATAAACACAGCAATGCACTTAATATCTGACAGCGCAGTACCTAACAACCTACCACCGTATTCCCATCAGGTATATTTCAACGTCGCGTGTACGCAACAGATTTGAGACCATCACCGGATAGCCAAACTTTATACCCAAACATAGAAGTATTTTATAGAGTGTATTACTAAAAATAGCTAAAGCCTTGCCTTTTTTACTATACGTATGTATATAATGTGTGTAAGAAATTGTTAGCTAATCCAGACCACTTAGAAAGATGGAAAAATAAGAAGATAATCGACTTCATTAGTGATAAGAATCAAGTGGAAGAGCGCTAGCCTGCACCGAACCACTTCGTACGATATATTGTCACTGTTTGGACAACCTTATCGTTCAACCTGTTCCTTACAAGCTGATATAAAATAATCGGCTTAGATGTAAAATTAAAATACACAAACGATATTTATGAAAAAGTAGAAGCCGCTTCATACATAGGGAACTCAATATAAACACTATCTATCATCGGATCTAAGAACCGGCGCTTAACACGCGAAATGCAGTTATTTTTCTTTCCTCTTCCAAGATTGTCTTACTAAACGTTCAACATACATATATGTCTCATAAGTTTACACAATTATTATACTAAAGATTAGCCGCCGTTTCGCCTTTTTTGACTAGACGACACAGACTTGCTTGGCGTTATCACCCGTTGAAGATGAGTTGTTATTGAAGATGAGCGACGAGACTATGAACCTTGAGCGCGACTCCTAGCTTTAGACGAAGTACATCAGTGAGGTCTTCCCGACGAAGGCACAACAATGCTACACCGTCGACGGCGTTTTGTCGAAAAACGTTACCTAGTGATGGAAGGCCGGTAACGCGACTGACCTCATTTGCAACTCGAGCTACATCCCACTGTTCGACATCGGCCTGCCAAAACAAAGATACATGCATATTTATGTCAGGAAACACGTTGGTTGTAAACGTACCCTTGAACACAATTATACGGCAAACTCTCAAAGAAATGTGGTAGACTCATACAGGTCACTCACGAATTCATAACGCATGGCCGTTCCAAAATAAGTGTCAATTCAGCCGTTCTTTGTGAATAAAATGTTGAGTAATTTTTTTAATAACCCGCATAAGCCCAACAACGGGTTATCCAATAATGAGAAAATCTTACCTCTGTAACTGTTCCCTGTAAGTTATTTTTCCTTCTGTAGTCAGTTTCTAAGGATGAAGGCGGCGGCAAGCAGGCGAATATGCTATCATGAACCGCTCTTCGTAATGTATTTTCGCCAGTTGCTGCAGCTTTGTGTCCAAGATGAACACCTCCCCACCCACGGACACTGCGAGTCTCCACCCGACGCGGCAGAATTCGTTCGACATTGTGTCGAGCATATGGACAAAACTGAGGAGAATTGTGCGTCGTATGCCCGGGACTCTGCACGCTGCCCAGACCTCGGCAGCCCGGAGCTGCAGAACAGGCTTCTGAGCGGCGTGCTGGTCCCGAGGGTTCCAGTGGGTGAACGTTTGCAACACACCATCCAGGGTCGTGTAAATCCTCAGAGTCGGCATCAACCCAGAAGTCATGATAGGATTGCGTCCAACCTTCAAATCGCAGCTGGACTGAGAAGGGCTTTACCTTGACCACCTACGTGAACAAATGTCCAAACAAAGGCAAATCGTTTCCTATTACGAAAACACTCGCATATTTCTACGGAATTAACGATGTAGGCTTACTGCCTATTTCTTGAATATATACCTCATGAATGTGCATATTTGAATTGTTCCTAATTCCAATGAAATTCTAAAAATGTTCCATTTTTACTCCATGAACGCTTTGATCGACTTACCTGCGCTCTTCTTATGAGTCGCCTATTGTATGGGTCGACCACTTCAAAGGTTGCTCCTAGCAGAATTGAGTGGGGCTCTCGCCGTTGTGGGGACACAATGGACTTGCTTTGCTGTTCACGAAGGTACTGTGCCCATGTTGTAAATGTCGGTGGCAAAACGCTTAGTGAGACTTCGTTTCGATCGCAATGGCTGGAATTGATTAGAAGGCAGGTAAGTTTAGAATAATCATACATTTATTAAGTAAGAGAGGTGATCTAAACATTTTTATATGCGAAATACGACATATCTTGAAAATAAGGCAAAAAATGATTGGCGGTGAAAGGTAGAATAAAAAAAAAAGAATCGTTGAACGAAACTACGAAATTTTCCGCTACTTACCCGACGCTCCCGATGTACGGGGAGTCAAGAATATACCACTGGTCATAATCATCACCAGATGTCCCATCAAAATGAACAAGAATGCGTTCTGCTAGTCGATCAATCACTTGTGCAACTCCCCAGCGGAATGGAGCTCTGCGTTGTTTTGCCTCGAGGCGATCTCCGATGGAAACACCTGCAGCACACTTGCCTCCGTTATCGGCACCATGCGGTCGAAACAACACTCGAGGGGCGGCTTGTGCCCCGATGCTAAGTGTTAGGCAGTAATAACAAAGTTAAGAGACAGAGGAAATAAACATGGTTAATTATAACCCTTTCTTGAAGCCCGCATTAGTTAGAGTTTTAGACAGGCCATTAAGCTAACCTAATCACATTGCACTAGTTTTTTTTAGCATCAACACAACAGTGAGCCTACTAGCAGTTAAGACCTGACCTTCGTTCGCAACCAGTGTAGTTCACTTACCGCCGTAAGTAGGATGACCACGAAAAGGTCGTTCCCTCTGACGGGGGCACACTCAAAGTCCTCCCTGAGCTTTCACAGAATCCACACGGAAATATGCCCCATGAATCGTGATTTAGCCAAAAATCGTATACGTCTGGATAGCCATCAAGGTGAACTCGCATTCGACTCCCTAGCACCTACAAGCATTTCAAAAATATAAAATAATTTAAGAAAAGTTTTAGATATCAGTTCAAGATGAAAATGAAACTGAAGCATAAATATCAACTGAAAAATTCTATGAAGGCCTCAAGAGTTCTTAGTCAACGCACACAACATTCTCCATAGGCCAAATCGGTCCTTAAATATGTACTGCACTTCTATATTTGTTGCATCTTTAATGTTTTACATCCGCCTTTCTCAAGCGGATTCACAGGACTAATGTCGGAATATGCAGATATAAAAAAAAATATAGTATACAAATATCCTTACCTCTGCCACTGAGGCAACGCAAAATGTGCTCTGATGACGTGGGTCAATAGCCTCGAAACGCATGCCAACTTTGAACGGACACGGTGTTTGAATATCCAACGTTTGTAAATCCGAGAGACGAAATCTGAAAAGATCGGTCAACTCTTCTCTCAACAAGACTTTACTAAACATATTTATAGTCCGACACTTTGTTCCAGTTGCATTTACTGGAGAAAATCGAAACGGCTTTTTAGTATATTCACCAAGTTCATATTGAATTCATTAAAAAAGGTTTTTCTTATAAATTTTAGCAGACAGCTGCTTGTAGGCATTCCCTGAGTTTAGTCCTGATGGAGATATACTATACGTTACCACGTTACCATAAAGTTCGCACGAGTTGACACATGTTTATTTCAAAAAGAGTAAATGTCAGTCAACATACTACCCCTTGTCTCTTTCAATATCAAGTTTATAGTATATCAAAGATCAGTCAAAGCGTTATATTTTTATATGAGAAACCCTGAATTTTAGTCCTTGCTTCTAATCGGTATGACCTGAATCGCACCTAATTATTGTTCATGATATTAAAATCGAAAGCAACGATAGCAAATCGAACAAAAATAAAGATCTAATATAGTATTTATTATTAAACATACAAGTCTATACCATATGAGATCAGAACTAAGATATTAATATTGGCTATTTGATGTAAGCGTCAGTGTATTTACGTAACTAAGCAACTAAACAGCAGAGAATCGAACGCGTGATCTAGATAATAATAATAATAGAAGCCCATCATCAGCAAAATTACGGAACTTTCTTAAAAAGAAGGTTTATGGATAACTAGTTGATTCTCATTGCGTCACGACAATGTCATACTCGCACAGAAAACTAGAAGATCCTTTTAGCTTTACAGTATTTTTCTAATTTGACAGAAGAAACGTGGCTAAAATTAAAAAAAAATTACTGGTTAAAGCTGCATTGATATTTCGCTTTGTTTACACATGCTGAACTCAGGTACTCTCTCAAAAAGGGTTAACGTAACATAGTAACTTTATATTGGACAAAACAAACTCTTAACACGAACGCCCAATCGTAACTATAAAATTCAGTGGTTAATAGGCGCTACCAAAAGCACCAGTTGCCAGCTGACTGCAGCTGGTGTTTTTGATCATATCAAATAAACAAGGACAAGCCGCCAGCCGATACCTGTAAGTTAGCGATTTCATAAAAATTGTTCTGGCCAATAAAGTGTTTTTGTCTGTTACGGATTAGGCGCGAAAACGAATCTCTCGAACAAAACAAATTCCAAAATTGCTTCGAATAACTGTTCATACTTGATCTGCGTTCCTCGAAGAGTCGCGACTCCCGACTGCCATATGAGGCCTTCCTCTTCTGAAAGCAAAGTCATTTTAATACTGCACACCCGCGCGTACTCGTAGCTCGCGTTGAATGTAATAAACAAACACTTCGTGAAAAGTATGGAGTCACAACGGCAATTTTCACTTTATACTTCTTCTTTTTTGCCCCGACAGCAAACAGAACTGCTGCTATCCAAGACACATTCACTAAACAGTTGGACGAATGAACACATTCAGACGGGCTACTGCTGTGTTGATGCCGGCGGCCGGTTGAAGCTTTGCACTGTTTCTCTAAAAAAAAAAAAAAAGAGAGACTAAGCGCATAATATAGAAATTGTACCACTAGAACTATATATTTTAAGTCATGTCAACACATTGAATTGTCACAAACATTTAATCACACAGATTTATGTTCTAGCTTCAGGAAACAGCTCAGTAGAGCTAAGTTCAACTGCAGTAGGGTACTCAATGGCATGAACAAAAGTAGGGAAAAATCCATCTGCAAAAATGATTATGCCCATATTCAAATGTAGGTATATCAGGGATAGGTTGATCCTAATTCCATGATTAAACATCTACAAGAATTTGGCTCTTGTTACAAATATACGGAAGTTTCCTTAGCTTTTGAGCGATCTTAGTATCTATACGTTAGGTTAATGTGTGTGGTAGTGAGATTTGTGGCCAATATCATTCGAAAAACGCGAAACATATGTGACAAAAAGTCATCTGGTGTTGTGAATCTTTATTTGTCGAGTAAGTCACGTAAAAAAATAAAACATTGCCTAGGTGTTTTGGAAATTATAATCTTATCGTCTTCACTAAATCATATCTGCGAATCTTGTGGAGTTAAAAGTGTCCGAAAATTATCAAATTAAGTTATAACACTGCCTAAACGCCAACTAAAGAGAATAAAAATGCCTACATTTTAGATGGAGAAATACATACCTATCGGTTAAATCTACCAAATTGTACATTTAGTTGTGGCGTGAGCTGCTTTCATCAGCTGAAAGAGGTTACCCGTTAACCTATCCTTTTTGACATATTTACTTTTCGATACAGGTTTTACAGTATAGTATAATGCCGAATCCCGAGGACAAAATTCGCTTAAAACTCTTGTCCGATTCCTGGGTCATCGATTAGCGCACTTGTTTTTAAATTTAATTATTATTCATTGATGAGATATGACCACAGTGTCAATATTGTCATATATCATTTGTATTTCAGTCCGGTGTAGACATTCCGAATATTCCCGGATAAATTAGATGGCTGCTGAGGACAAATAATTAAAACGTTTTGAAAATAGTTAAATAAATCTTCAGGTAAAATCTTCATTTTAAACATGCGGAGAGTTGTTTATAATCTCTATGAAGTTTGGCTGTTTATGAAGTAATACTGCGCAGTTCGCGTGATACGTCGCACATTAACCTGGTACATTTGTGGAACTTATTTTTACCAACTTTCAGACCAATTTAAGTTCTCTACGTAAACATGGCTACAAGCTGGGAAGAAGTTAAACGGTTGGCAGCCGATTTTCAGCGGGCCCAACTAACTTCGTCGGTGCAGCGTCTGAGCGATCGGAACTGCATTGAAATAGTCAAAAAGCTTATTTCGATGAAGTTGATTGATGTCGTATTTACGACTTCCGGAAAGGAATACATTACACCACAGCATCTTCACAAAGAGATCAAGGTAATAGTACCCGAACAGTTCACCATCGTTTGCAAAATCGGAATACAACCTTTCAAAGTTAGATAATGAAAATCCAGCCAGGATTTTATCTAGACTTAAAACCTACAGACTACATTATTAAAGACATATTTTTAACATACATTGTTTCTTTTTCTACGTACTGCAATCCAAAATCACAAATAGAAGCTCTGTTTTTTGAAAGGTAAAGTCTAGCATCCGGTCTCTTTCTTTCTATAATGTTACACTACGGCAGCTGAAGTTGGAAAAGCTTACGATTAACAGGTTTAACAAATTCAATATTAAAACAACTTTCTGGTTTGTTGCTTTAGGATGAGCTGGTCGTGGCTGGCGGTCGCATTGATTTGAGTATATTGGCAACAAAACTGCAAGTTGACCTGGGGCATATCGAAAATGCCGTCACAGAGCTTCTCAAAACCGAAAGGGATGTCAAGCTTGTACTTGACCAACTCATAGCTGATAGCTACATGGACCAATTGGCAGAGGAGGTCTTTACCTTGAAGTAGTCATTAAATAATGATAGTTTTCTTATCATTGTGAAATGTGTTCGTCTTTTTTATACTTATATGGTGGTTATATGTTCATACTCTACGAAATTAATGTTACTTGAAATAAGTTGACACTTATTATTTTCGAACACGGGTTACATATATGCCTAGTACTGCGCATATATAAATGTTATCGTTTCAATGATCTTTTGTGCTTTAGGTGAACGAGCGGCTTCAGCAAAAAGGCGAGTTGACAATGGCCGATATCATCAAGTGTTACGATGTACCAGCAGAGTTCTTGCGTGCTGGCCTCATGGCCCGTATGGGCCGTATCATTAAAGGTCAAAGCGAAGACAAAGAGGTTCTGTACACAGAAGCATTTGTCACAATGCATCGATACCGAATCCGTGGTGCATTGTGCGCAGTTACCAAACCCATACAGATATCAACCCTCATCAAGAGCTATGCACTACCGGAACGCATCGCTGTAAACATAGTTGAGCAGTTAATCGGTCAAAAGAAGCTGCTTGGACTGTTGTCCGGTCACGATGACCGTGCGTTCTACGTGCCTGACATCTATAGTCGTGCACAAAAAGAGTGGGTTACCACCAATTTCAATCAGAATGGCTTCCTAGAGTACGATGCCCTATCCCGATTGGGTCTTGGTGATCCGAAAACTTTTGCTAAAAATTTGCTTCAAGACAAAAAAGTCTTGTTCTTGTCGTCGGTCTGTATAGACGAACACCTGCTGAGCCAGGTAGAGTCTTCGATGGAAGAGGCTAACCTCACTGGCTCCTGGGTAGACGTGGTTTCGATGCTGCCTTCGCAGTTAATCGCATACGATGTCAATGAGATCATATCGCACGTTATATCGACGAACAAGTTGATGAGGAGTTGTATGCATATCATTGCGGAAACGGTTGTGGTTAGTAATGTTCTTGTCGAAAGCTGTGTTAGATCGTTCGAACCGCTGCTGATGGAAAAGGCCGCGGTGGATCTCCAAAGCGGAATTGGAAAACTATTCGAGGAGCTTGAACGAATTCCGGATGAGATTAGCACTGAGCGAAAAAAGAAACTCGCAGCAGATGACGAAGAAACGGACAAGAAAGAGGAGAGGAGGAAGAAAGCGACCGGGGGCAAAAGTGGCGGAGGAACTCAGGGCCGAGAAACAAAGACGAAGTCGACGAAGAGAAAATACGGCAAGAAAAAAGCCGGTGGATTTGATGACTCCGATGACGATGGCCCGTCAACGAACAAGGGCGGAAGACCGCTAGGTGCTGCTGCCTCGCAGGGGAAAAAGGCTGAAATTGTGTTCATGACGCTGAAGGAGATTACAGATAACCTTTGTTCACTTGAACTATTGCAGGGAAGTCCTGATGAACTTTCAGCAGGTGAGTTCATAGTTGTTGGCACAAAACATTTGTTTCTACTATAGCGTTTAAAACCATCGATATTTAAGACAAAAGACCTATTGACCTTTTAATTCTGCATAAATCAATTGGTGATACAGAATGGCATCGACATTTAGCCAGGTACGCTTATGATTAAATACTTTAATTGAAGTTATTATTCCGGTTACTAAATGTATGATGCTTCAATGTCGATGCAGGTATAGCAGAACTAATTGAACGTCAGCTGAATTTAAAATATAAGCAAGTGTTGAAATCGTTGTATATGTCGTCGATGAATGCGTCTGCCTCAAATCGGCGTAAAACCCATAACGAACTTCAGGAACGCATCTCTACTGCTATTGCCCAGATTACGCTGTACGGGGCTGGGTTGGATATCTTCAATGGTGATCTAAAAATCCAATTAACAAAGTACTTGCTACGTAGTCTGTGCACTGACTTGGTAAACGTCATCACCGTATATCTTACTGCTGAACTCGGCCTGCCAATCGAAACAGAAAACCCCAATCCTGAGCAACGATTAAGAATGATTAACAAAATGGGCGGAGCCCAGAAAGAAACCCTCCTCAAAGTACATCAGAACCTCTCAGGGAATAGTGTCGACCAATTCCTTGGCAATATGGAATCGGTTTATGGAGCAGGCGTGCTAGATATGATGATTCGCGTTGATCGAAAACGTGATCGTCAAGTAATGTCTGGCCACAAGCTCACGCTGACGGAACAACTGACCAATGCATCCGAACCTGCATTGGCTCTTCATCTAGCTGTTTTAGTTGTGATGCAGACGCAGATGCAGAAAATGGTCCATTTCTCCGGCAAGTTTGTACCGCAGATGGTAAATTTCCTAAAAGGAAAGGTATCGCCTGATTTGCACGCCGAACTTTGCGCAGTTGAAGAACTAGTGATGAAGGACATGAAGCTAGAAGAGGGCGCTGAAAAACAAGAACTTAAAGGCAAATTGCGGGATAAGCTGAATGAACTAAAGGAGCTTGTCGTCAATTATAAGCGACTTAGTGAATCGAAGTAAACGCGAGCACCTTTTTCTAGACAACACTAACAAAATTAATTCAAAACATTTGAAGTAACACTTGCTGTTTTGGGGGCAAGAACTAATTACAACTTGATATGTTACAACTCGATTCCTCCAGAAGGAGCGATAAGAGCCTAGAAGAAGAAAAGAAGATATGGTGGACGAAATACGACGCTAACCTCACTCATTGTAATTTTAGGAATAACTTAACGATGTACAGCGTATATTACTCTTTATTATTTTTCCTAAGCGTAAGTAGACTTTGGATGGAACAGAATTGAAAAGCTAACAATAAAATGTTAATATATAATGAGGCATTGTGATTATTAGATGGACGTAATGTATCGGCAGGATGTATATTGATTGCTACAAAGTCGGGCGTATTTCCGGTACGTAAATTTTCACGTTTGTTTTCAGCGAATTGTTCATTTTGATTATCTTTACCGTGACCCATTTTTCTTCTATCTGCTAAATTAAACATTTTTAAACTTTTATATATAACTACTTAGAAATATTAGAAGAACAACGAGAACTTACAAAGTTCCCCTTGTAACTATTAGTTATTTTTAGAAGTATTTTATTTGTCCTTCTTATCCCCTTATTTCATATTATATATTTTACCTTTAGATCTACACAGTACTATTGCTTGTATTGATTGACTGAATTGTTTTTAGGTAGATTCTGTACGACTGCCTATCGTACTTTATAGACTTTCTATTTTCTTTCTCCATATTTCGCTCGCGAATGTTTAACTAAACTTAAGTGCCAACATAGAACAACATGAGGCACATTTTTCCGCCACCTGCCAATTTGCACATATCCAAGTCTCCCAAACGAAAATCCTTCATTCTTCGTCAGTAAATGTACGTCCATTGTTCAATGACACATGTAGTACAACGTATTTAGGACACATTTCCGGTGCGCTATGTCCCAACAGAAAAACAACGTTCTGTCCGAGCGTTTTGAATACGCTTAGCATCGGCAGAACAACCTACTTGTCACTGAATTATTATAATTTAACATTGGTCAATAACATATAGGATAATGCGGCCTGTGTTCTATCATCACCTGGTGAGGGTTGGTGTATGTCTCTTTCCTCGCTTAGCTCATTGGTCGACCAGTCAGTGAGCTGGACTTACGCCAATGAAACATTACCAACCCATAAGGCCCGCAGTAGTTCACTGAGCTGTGGAGTTATTTTGTATGAATCGAATAGAACTGTGATATAATCTTCAACATATGAAGCATACAATAGCAGTAACAAAGAGAGCCAACGAAAATTACAAAACGGATCAAAACTGGGTTGCTTTACCCCGGACCACCTTTCTTTTTAGAAACGGCAGTCGCCTTTGTAACTAGAGCCACCAATGCCCTCAAATTGATTCAATGGTAGCGGCTTAAAATCACACTGTGACAAATTTGATTTTCCCCCCCTCCGACCAGCTGCTTGCCCGTGTCGTAAATGCCATTCCTTGGCAGCGAAGGGGCGGTGTTATGTAACAGGGGCTGTTATACGGTAGTGTTGACATGCCGGGGCAGAGATAGTAGCAATGTTTGCTCATCAATGATTTTTGACAGCTATTGTCAGCCGTAAAAGGTGAGAGTGTTCGTTTTGAGCGCGCGCGTATTCTGCCAAGTATCGACGCAGAACGAGCAATTACTCGTCGACAAAATGGATATGCTAAATAATATCTTCACTCCGCAGGGTCATGAATCGGCGATGAAGCAGGCTCTGTATAACACTCTGGCATTTGTATTTGTGCTGGTATTTGCCGCGGCTGGAGTGGCCCTGTACTTCATACTCGAGCCGTTCCTGCAGCCGCTCCTATGGGCCCTACTCTTTGGGTCGGTCCTGTACCCGTTCAAGCACTCATTGTCACAACTTCTTCGGGAATGGCTACAGAACGTACAAGCCCCACTAGTTGTAGCCGTGGCCACGTCTCCAGTGACGGTACTTGACAGCATCTCGCATTCGCTAATAACGTTAATAATAAAATACCTCAAACTACTACTGGCTGTTGCAGGCATTATGTGTGTATTGTACTTTTTGCCACTCGCCTGGTTCATGCGTGTGCTGAACGTGCTCAACGTCGCGTACGGACTAGTTGCTCGGCTTCTCGGTCTTTTATCGTCGCCGTACACCGTGTGGACAATGATTACCGCTTACGTTTTCTTGCTTCTGTTCAACTTCAACGCACAAGTGGAAGCTGTATTCGAACTGCTCAGCCCTATAATGTACCTTTCAATATTCTGCTTTGTTACCGGCATGCTTGGGGCTCTAAAGATCCCCATCGCCATAGGAATCGGTTGTCTGATTATTATTGGTTTCTTTGCGGAAATTGAGGAAAGAGGCAAGTGTGGTCCGAAGACCAGCGAGCGGGCCTCAACAAAAGTTTATGACCGCATGTCAATAGTGGAAATAACCGTTGCACGCAAAATGAAGCTATGGTACATTCGACTACGAGAATGTTTACGCACGCCGGAGATCATACCGGATCCTAGCGACAACGTGGACACTCCGGATGCGTCGGACGGTAAGCCGAGGCCACCTCCACTTATCCAGGTAGACGATATGGATAAAACAGCTGAGCAAGCCGATGCGGAGGATGATTTAGCGGGTAACGATACGTCAAGCCATGAAAGCGACTTATATCTAATAGCTGTTATTTGGGCTTGTGTCGTGATGCAGATCTACCGCAATATATGGTTCCTGCCTCTTATGTACATTCCGCTATTATACAGTGGACTAAAGTACGTCTGGCTTAAATTAAATGTCATGGAATGGACAGGTGGTTTCCGTAAGTCCCTTGATGAATGGTTCGATGCAAGACGTGAGGCAATTATACCCGATTTTATGACGCCTGCAATCCGATTGCTTCTAAAGGGCGATCGTAAGATCAAACAGATTCTAGAGAACTCGGTTGATTCAATCACAGCTATTTTGGTAATCATCTTATTATTTCTAGTGGCCACTGTCGGAACCATCTTTATGGCTGTGCAAGTTTACGGTGAAAGTGTTCATCTTATAGAAATCACGTCGGGCGTTATTAATCGGACTGTCGTTCACAACCCCGAGCTGCAACAGCTTGTACCGGACACTATCAGCAATGTTCAGGGTGCTCTAGACTCTATGATTGGCGATGCGTATACCTACGGTAAAGACTGGATCCGGGGAGGCCTTAGGCGGCTTTTGGACGACAAAGACCCCACTAAGGCAGAAGCGCTTGAAGCCGAAATCGTCGAACTGTGGGACCGTGTTTATCAAATGTGGATGCAGAAGAACTCTACAGAGGTAAACGTCAGCGAAGCGTTGGCAAACCCTTCATGGAACACCCTATTAGAGGGTCTGAAGAGCCTTGATATCAGTGCAATCACGAGCTTCGTCAAGGACAATCTCGACACACTGCAAACAGTTATCGACTCTCTGTGGGTAATCCTCAAGGGCAACGTCACGATCTTTATTTCGGTGTTCACAGCCATTCTGTCCGTCGTTTTTGGCGGCGGCACTGCTGTATTGAATTTCGTTATCAACTTCGTTATTTTCACGACCGCACTGTACTATCTGTTAGTGGCGAGCGATAGTACCTACAAGCCGATCCAGTTATTGAGTAAAGCTATTCCGAACAGTAAGGGTAAACCTATCTCAGGTCTAGGTAAGGCGGTAGAGCAAGCAATCAACGGAGTGTTCGCACTGTCATTCAAAATGGCCTTTTTCTACGGACTGTACACATGGCTAATTCATTCGCTGTTTAACGTTAACATCATCTACATCCCGTCGTTTTTGGCGGCCATCTTTGGCGCCGTCCCGTTCCTCGGAACGTACTGGGCTTGCCTGCCAGCCTGCCTTGAGTTGTGGCTGGTTAACGGGAACCCCGCAAAGGCAACATTCATGTTTGTCGCCCAGTTTCTGCCCGTGCTTTTCGTCGATACAGCTATCTATTCAGAAATTAAAGGTGGCGGCCATCCTTACCTCACCGGTTTAGCCATCGCCGGTGGAGTTTTCTGCATGGGTGTTCAGGGAGCGCTATTCGGGCCCATGTTGCTCTGCGTGCTCATAGCCGCGTGCAACGTGTATTCGAAGCTCGTGCAGAAGTCCAACCAGACGAGTACCGCCAATATAGGCAGTGATGGAGCACCATTCTCACGTGCTAGTTCACCAAAACCGCGCATGAAAAAACGAGCGTCGTTCAGCGGCCAGCTCGTCACTGATAAATTCGATTGAACCATTTAGCTAAATCATCAGCTTTCCACCGAAAGACAAATAATTTTTTGTATTACTTTAGTCCGTTAAGCTTGTTCTGTGTGGATATGAAACTATCAAAAAACCTATAAAAAAAACCATAAAAAAAAGAAGGAAATGCGTTGCAGCAAGTGATGCGACTGATACTAACAATAACGACGGTGAAAACAATAACGCTAACTGTTAAACTAGAGCGTTTCATTTATGTATGACGAATGCACAGAGACCCATAGAATAGGATACATATAGATAAACTACATGCTCACTTATGCTTGCGGAGACGATCGTCCAAAAACAGGACAGTGGTCAATCATCAGTAGTTTTAACGGTACGGCGGTAAAAAAGTTTGAGGCCTTAAAGACCACCTATGAAGAATTTTATCGACGGCACTCACTAATAAACCAGTTCTGGGTTTCCATCATGAAATCACGGAAGGAATCCATATTCGTGGGTTTTCGCCCAAAGTCTGATCCAAGTCAGGAGAAACGGGCTGTTATTTCGGCACCTTTTTGAAAACACTCGACGCTTTCACACGATGGACATGAAGGACAAGTAAAGACTGTGATGTTCTTATTCGTTTGCACAAGCAGATACAAAGAATGTAGAAGAAAATAGACAAGGTAAAATATAAAGGGTAACACTATTGTATGGTACATATAGGTTGGTATATTGAAATTAAGTGTGATTATAATTACATTGCAAGTGCTATTACTGTGCACCTCTATAAAGTGCCTTGGTTAGAGGGAAAAGAGTTTCTCTCTATTTTTATGTTCATCTAACAAAGTCGTACAGATAACAATATACATAAAACTATTTATTCTACTCTGTACAAAGAGTTGTCGTGTTTTTATTTCTTCACCATAACGTATACTGTTACATGTTATACTGTTTTTCCCAGAAAAGCTTTTTAAAGCCGATTTCGATGTTATATGGCAAGAAAAGAATAAATCTAGGAACTTATACATATATATTAAGTAAAGTTTATACAAATTCTTTGCATTGACATGATTAGCAGTACATATTACTGTAAATGCCATTTCATTAGAACATTTACGTTGTCTATAAAATCTAAAATTGTATTCAAAATGGTAAAAAGTGCTATCTAACTATTTTAACGATCTCGTTCCATTTTGTGTCCACTCACTTAATTATAACAAGCACAGCGTGCACACTATTGTACGCTGTAGGAAAAGTACACGAGCGTTAATTTTCTAGTTAAAATCATGTACTTCAAACACAGGGTATTTATTTATTGTTCCGAGTCAAACGAGATGTTTACTGTGGTTGTAGAGTATGACGGTTTAGTCTAGCCGTTACAGTGCACCCTCTCTTATCCATAGCGTTTCATAGCTGGAACCTATCGATAGAGAAATAGTCCGACAAGGCTACTGCAATAGTAAGATTTGCAATAACCTAACTTACGTACCCCATGTTTTGGACCTATCCCCTGAGCGGTGGGGTCACCTGAAACTTACAGCTGAAGGGTGCTGTACGTCGGACAGCTTTTGGACTTGGTACAATCATGGTAATAATAATTACAATAACTAAACCATACAAACTGGAATATTCGAATTCTACTTAGATTTACTTACATCTACGTAAGTGTTTGTTTGTCGTTTATTTTCGATATGCAAGGTATATTGATTTTGTTTAGCATATGCCTATCACAGATATTACCTAGTTTAGAGAGTCATTCATAAAGTGGTAAGGACATTTAAGATATATTTGCCCTTACCGAAGACGTATACATGCTGGTAATTATAAAACGATATCTAGTTATGAATGTGTCATCGTTAATAAGCACTAGCTTCAAGCGGTCTAACACTGCCAGTTAGGCGGGGTCGGCTTCGCAGCATCTTTAGAAACAAATGTAGAATAGCGTCAAGGTTCGGTGAAATGTCACGAAAACTTACCGTCAAATAAAAGTTGTATGTTTTCAGGAACCTTCGCGAACTCTCCAATTTAGGTAGCGGTGGCCCTTCAATTATTTTCAGTGGAATTGTTGCTGATCTTCCTTCTGCATTATATGAAATGAGAAGGACCGGAGCCCTTTCAACATTTTCATTCTAATAGTAATTGTGATGATTATATTTATTAGGTTTACTATATGGCATCATTTTTATTGAAAGCGGGCAAAGAAAAACTACTATGCGATATCGAAAAGGTAGCAAAGTTTATGCAGAAGATTCAACCCATTTACCCTTGAAGCTGAATACTTTTTATGGCTCTATTTCGATGACAATAGTATATTTCATTAGTGCTTAAGAAATGAGAACGAGAGTGATACTTTTTCACGTCATCTAAACCTTAGGTCCTCCGTAACTGTAAGAAATAGCATTTAAAAAAATTAAAATAAATTTCAATTTTTTTAATAATTTAAATTGGTATTGCACTGTTTATTTTATCGGGTTATAAACGTTTCGATTTTCTGTGAGTGCGCGTGTTATCGATTTGGTACGTAGGTAGAGGCTGGCTATTAATTGGGTGACTAAAAAGTATGTGATGAAAAGAAGCGTATCAAATCAGCCGCTCAAAGAGCATAACATTAAACGCCTTAGTGTTATACACCTTTCTGAATGAATCACAGGTTTGCTATGAGTATGTAAAATGTTTCCCTAAATATGCATTAGAAACACAAAAGAATATTTACATCGTTCCTTCGGAACCTTACGGAGCCTTCTAGCAAATCACTTGATCTAAAAAAGATTTTCACTGCGTTCTGTTCATCTGATAAAGGAAGAGAATTTCCAACGGACAAAAAGTCTGCGAAAACCAACATAGGGAGATGCTATTCAATTAATTGATGCACTCGTGTCCATACCACAAAACAGGAAGATGACCAAGGGGAAATAAGTATTATTTATAAACTTTTCAATGGGTACAATAATTTCGCAAAAGAGTACATGCTACAGCGAAGAGACGTCTCCATAAACTGTTCAAGAGATTGGACTCTTTCCAAAATCCCTTTTATTAGAGCACGGTGAAGCACCATGATAAAGTCATGCAATGAACAAACACGCAACCAGCATGGTAATTATAATATTAGGTATTATATCAAGATATTGCACTAACAGTAATCTCAGCTTACAAGTCCTCGCCTTATCGGTTTAATTATTCTTTAGATCAGAACGTATATAATGGAACGTTTATGAGCAGACATAATTGTTAACTTTTACTTACTGCTATTAAGTGATAATGATAAGATTGAGAATGATGAAAGGATTAAAAGTATTATCCATTCTAATTTTACGTAAATCTCTACTATATATAGAGTAACAGGAAAAGTGTAAATTAAATCAGTTTGACTGCAAAATGTTTCTTCAAATGGACTTCTTCTGACGGTGTGCGAAGTCCCTTGCCTTATAGGATATGTCTTATCCTATCGAAGGCTGAGAATAGATATAGCTATATCTTAATTATAGTTTCTAGTAGAAAACTATCATTTAATTAATTACATACATTTGCTAACAATGCTTACGGTAATGAGCTCACTATACACAACATATTTGAATCGAATCAAACGTATCGCCGTTAAGCATTCGATCACACGGCTGGAAGTGGGCGTGTGCCCGGGTTCAGACCACCATATGTCTATAAGATTAACAGGCGAGTGTGATACACACTAGGCTACAAGAGATCAACGTCTAACAGCCACCAACAAACCTATTTGACTTAATCTCTCACGCGATAGTAGCAATTGAGGCTGTTTGCGTGTTATTACACAGAATCGGCTTTCTAGTCTCTAGCAATGCCCTTATGCTTACTGTTACAGTGTCTTTTACTGAAGTTCTCCTCGCGGCGGCTCATCTTGCGAATATTTCTATGCTACATTCATTTCACCCAACTCTTTCGTTAAGTGTACTTATCTGCTAAATTCCTGTTTCCCTAGAATAGTTAGCACTGCCTGCTGGCTTTATCGAATTTGTACGATGACGGCCTTTATCAGCGGCTCGATCGCCGTTCAGTTCTCATATCTCTTTTTTTTTAGTGCTACGATGTATATAGTTAAGATAATAATACCGTGTCTCATGTCTGTTATTTTTCTCTATTTTAATTTTATAATTTTAGGCGCTCGTTAAAAGAGTTTGAACCTTGACAATGACTTCCTGAACCGTTTAAAGCTCTATTTGCTAATGATAATCTCTCACAGGTGTGCCTTCTCGAGAATACCTGATATCTGCTCATTATTAATAATGCTAATAACAATGACATGTTTATTTTTTTGCATTCAGCATCTTCAGGGCTGATTCACATCAGCCTGTCGCTGATGTCAATCAGCCCTGTAGAGCAGCTAACTGGGTGCCCTCTTAGCAGACGACAGGACGTTTGTAGTGTTTGTTTTGATATTTTTTCGGTAAATAATTTGTAACAGAAAATCTGGCACTAATGGTTAACTTTATAATACTGATGGCAGTTGTTACTTTACTTGACGACATGCTTTGATGCTTCTGTGGTACGCGAAGTACGTAGTTTCATATGATAATGCCTCAACTCTTGCTCGAAGCCTGTAGCACATATTGCGTATATGTATAAGCTATATACCGTCACCAAGCTATACGTCTGCCCTGAGTGGCTTTCGGATGCTCAAAGAAATCTCTCCTGCCGCAAAGCTTACGCTTTCTGGCGTGTTAGTTATACATAGATTTGTCGCTTCTGGCACGTAATGACCCCATTTCGCTTGCTCCCTTGCCAACTAGCAAAACTTATTCGTAGACCCACACTGACCATCGCTTATATCTTACATTGTCGTGTCGACGCCCGATTCGTTCGTTTCCTGCGTGCCACCATTGGCCAAACGTACACATTTATAAGAAAAAAATACATGTACACTTCCATCTACAGACATACTCACGCCGGCAAATTTACTCATGCTTGCAGTCACCGGTAATATCTATCACCATACCGTACAGACAGACATCTGTCTAAGTGTATGTCTACTCACTTACACAAAAAGTCAGACAGCTGTTGGTGTCACAGGCTGATGCTGACAAAACACAGAAGCTTCAATGCAATGATTATATCACGGCTTAAGGGGGCAGGCCTATTGTCAGAAGGTTACTTTGTCGAAAGCGGTAACGGTACTTACTCGAAGCGTCTATTTTTGGGATAGGTACTAGCATTTTACAACCAGTAATACTGGAAAGCAGAGTGACTGCGTATGTGTGTGCGCGATACCTAGTTTTATTTGACACATATACTTATAAACTCATTTTTACTAAGTTAAGTTGCCTTTTGGAACCTATTTCCTTCAATTTATCTGCCAAATGAACACCGATGGCATTCGGTTTCATATCTACTCGTCATGCAATGGTTCATATTTATTCACTCCACCTCGACCATTATAGTCCCCAGGGTACCCATATAATTTAACTCAGTACACTGAAACCTACTTTGCCCTCAGTTTGTCCTTAAAAACGTAACTTTGGTACAGGCGAAACCATAGGAAAACGAAGGCGAATTGACTATTATGCGCCTTCATTGTTGAAAAGAAAGGTCGACGAAGTACGAAAAAAATACCATACGGCGACATCTTTAAAAGCTGCCTAATGCACTTAATTTCCGAGCCCCGTACATCTAAAATGTGATAATTTTTACTGGTTTTATAGTTTAAAGTCAACGTTCTCCTTTTAGAAAAAATGCAAAAACCTATATGTCCCTTGATTTAATTTTCTCTGTATCTTATTCACGAGGGTGCCACGCTATCTGTTGTCCTGTCACATCATACGAACTATTTAAAAAAATTGCCTTTTGAGCTCTACAAGCTCCTCCACGTACCCTATAAACAAATAAGGCCGAATAGAGCTGCTGCGCGAGAGTTTCTTCGATCTGTGTGGTCATCCTGAAAGAGAAATCGACGTTGAAAATCTTTCTTATCTATGCGCATTTAAAACTGACATGAAGCTAACCCACTGGGTTTGTATTAGACCCGTCATAAATAAAGGGTCATGTATACATCTGAATCTAGACAGATCACCCGTCACAATAAT